GGCTCTGAGTAAAACATCCCTCCACAACCTCTCAGTTTGAATCCAGTTCTCCAAATACATCCTACACTGTCATTGTAGTCATACTAAGTACAATCTTTATAACAAGAATAAACCTTACTCAGTCCCTTGTATATGTTTTCAAAGGCTAGGCTTAAAACAAATAAATAAAAACAAAGTTGTCTATCCATATTTACCTAGATAACAATCTTAATGCTTCCAGAGATCTACAGAATATTGCATTTAAAATGTTAACTAAAAAAACTTATAATATCAGAGAATTCCAAATCCTGACAGTGCCCCAAAGTCTCCAAAGAAGATTACAGGACACCTCGATGTCTACACAACACTGACCAGGGGGCAAGATGCCCCAGTGCACACCTGCTGCCAGGACCTGGCCTAGACTGTGCACAAGCAACAGGACATTGGAGAATTGATTGTACCCCTTTTGCCTAGACCAAATAAGGTCAGTCTGTTCCATCCCTCTTCCACAGAGAGAAAAACTCTCATCTTATAGGCCTGGCAAAGACTGATGCTGTGAACTCTAGATTTGCTATGGATGTAAACCAGTCCAACCAATGTGAACACTCCCTGTTTCTTCAACAGAGTCTGCCAACAAGATGCTTCTGATAAATACCCCACTGCCTAAATTCCCTCTTTGCTTTTGACTAGCACTTCAGCCTACCTGGACCCCTGACTATGACACCCCAAGTCAGCAGAAAGTAGCACAGGAAAGAATACATCTTCCCTTTTCCCTGGTTGAGATGCTAAGTCAAAGAAAAACTTCCTCGCATATGGGACAAGATAACAATAAAAATTGTCCACTAGTAACCCAGGATTGGGTTACCTATAGAAGAGGATGAATGAAAGGGATAAACTAAACTCAAGGGCTTCACTTCTAATAATTTAGACATAAAGGGACCAGTCCCTCACTCAGCCCCTGCTTTAGCAGTCATGATAGGCTACAGAAAAGACATGTAGGCCTCTGACACAAGGAAACTCCAGATCCTGTGGCCTCCTGGAGTCTAGGGACAAAACTGAACACAAAGAAACTCTAGATCCCCCTCCCCCACCACCAGCCTCCTAGATGCTTGGTTCCTGGCAACTGTTTGGCCACAAAAGAAACTCCAGGGTAGGCCAAAACCCCTTGTAGTTTCCAGGATATAGTTCTGAAAACTATTGGTATCTGTGTACAACAGGCCACCTGCAAGTAACAAGACAATGCCATAGAAACCACAGAATGTTCCCTCTCAGCCCTGACCAATGGAAAATAATTGGTACACAGGTATTTCATGCCAAAATATGACTTTGAGAAATGCTCCTAATTGTTCCCAAATGTCAACCAATCAGAAGCCAACCTGTACCTACTGATGTAATCCTGCAACTTTTGTCTATAAAACCTAACAGTAGACAGGGAACTTCACTCCCTCTGAGGGCTGCTGTGTCAGCTTGCTATATGGGGTCCCTGTCATGGATGGATGAACAATCTTGCCCTAGGCAGATGCCCTGACATCTCTGTGGCTCCAGGTGGCATGGTCTACGGTAGCTGACCAGACCCCCACATGGGTCATCCACAAGGCCCTTGGCAACAACAGGAGTCCCGGATATCAACTCAGACCCTGGCTGCTATAGGGGCCCAGACCCAGATATGACCTTCTGCAGCAGCCTTGGTCCAGAAGACACCATGGCCCCAGGTGACAGCATAGGTAACTCAGATCAGCATGTCTCTGGTGGCAGCATGACACTAAGACACCCTCATGGCCACAAAGTGTTACACAGATTCTGAGCATCTATATAGCCTTTTGTGGAAATATGGGCAACAGACAGCAATAAAAACCCAAGCTGCGGTAGGACCCCAGTCCCATATTGTCCTAGGCAGCAGCTTGGGCCAGGATGTCACCATGGTCTCAGATGACTGTGCAGACTATTCAAATCTACATGACCCCCAAAACAACATGGCCCTAAGACACCAACATAGCCCCAGGTGGCAGCCTAGACTCCCCCACCACCACCACACACACACACACACATCAACACAGGTTTTTATGGTCTCAGGAGCTATAGACATCAACACAGGCCCTGGATGCTACAGGGCCACGGACTCAGACATGGCCCTCTGCCACAGTCCTGGTCTAGACAATACTATGACCCTGGTTGACATCACTGACCAACCAGATTGGCCTGGTACAGCAGGGACACAGCTGTTGGACATCAACATGGTCACAGGTTGCAGTCCAGACCCCCAGCATCCACATGGACCCTGGAGGCAAGATGGGCAGGGACATCACCATGGACCCCAGGACCATGAACGCAGACATGGTCTTCAGCAGCAGCTTGGACCAGGTTGTCACCATGGCCCCAGGTGGCTGCACAGGCCACCCATATTGACATGGCCCACAAGGCATGTGTTTGTGAGTATGTGTTTGTAGTGTGTCCACAGTGTGCATACAGGTACACACACCTAAATGCGTTCCAAGGCCAGAGAAGAACCTCACATGGAGACCAGAGGAGGATGCCCAGTGTCCTGATCTATCACTCTCTTATTTTTTTTAATTTTTTATTTATTACATATACAGTGTTCTGCCTACATGCCAGAAGAGGGCACCAGATTGAATTATAGATGGTTGTGAGCCACCATGTGGTTTCTGGGAATTGAACTCAGGAACTCTGGAAGAGCAGTCAGTGCTCTTAACCTCTGAGCCATCTCTCCAGCCCCATGATCTATCACTCTCTTATTCCCTTAAGATGGGTCTCCCACTGAACCTGGAGTTAGGCAGATTAGGAGCAAGCCAAATCACTGTCTGTGGCCCCTCATCACTGGGTTACAGGCACACCTGTCATCTCTGGCTTCTTATATGGGTGCTGGGGATACAAACAGAGTCCACATGCCTGCGTATCAAACGTTCTTCCCAAATGATCATCTCCTCAGCCTCTGGAAATTCTCCCCATTAGACCCAAACTCACCATTGCACCTGGCTTTTCAAAGTCTTAAAGTTTTATCTTTACTTTTGGCATTAGGTACTTCTCCGACTCTTATGACCAGATACCTAGTAGAAGCCCCTTGATGAAGGGAAGAGGTATTTTGGTTCCCAGTTAAGGGACAGTGCATCATTCTGGAGAAGGCATGGTGGTAGGAAGCTGCTAGTCTGCATCCTGGCGGACCAAGTAGGAAACAGGCGCATGGAGCCACCTTGCTCCTTTCTCCTTTTCAGTCTGAGACCCCAACCCTCACAGACACAAAGTATGCTCACTAATGCCCTAAGTGGTTTTCTTTGTTGGTTTCAATCAAGTTGGCGATCAGAATCAACTCCTGCAGCATTTTAGGATGTAATTTTATACGTGTCTGAAAAAGAAAAGAATGTAGTGTGTTTCTAAGTTCTTGGTTTCCCCTTGTTTCAGACACTACTGTAATTTTCCCATTTTCATTGTTATGAATTATGAGAGAGAGAGAGAGCATGTGTGATGTGAATATGTATTACAAGAGGGGGGTGGCACAGCCTGAGAGTGGCAGTTGGAAGACAATTATACAAATATGGTATTGAATGATATTGTTGTAGCAAGATCTTATGTATTGTTTGTGCTGCTGTGTTGCATATTCCAGACTACCTGGCCTGTAAGCTTCTGGGATATTCTATTATCTCTACCTCCTCTCTTATTAGAGGAGTGTTAGAATTGCAGATTTGTACATATGTACCTAGGTTTTTTTTTCATGGATTTCAGAGATCAAATATGGGTCACCAGGCTTTCGGCGGCAAGTGTGTTTACCAGCTGAGCCCTCCTCCAGTCCTAGACTGTGACTTCTGGCAGACTCCCCACTGACTTTCTGTTTATGTGTGGACCCATTAAATTCTGCTTTAATTTTTAATACTATTTTTCACCACTCTGTTAATGCTATCTTAAAGAATTGTGTGCATTGATAAGATGTTTATTAATGGTAAAAAAATAGTTACTAAGAAATGGAGTTGGAGAGATAATGGTTCAGTAGTTAAGAGTGCTCACCAAACTTGCAGAGGACCTGAGTTCTGTCCCCAGCACTCGCCTTAGCCAGCTCACAACCATCTATACCCCAGTTCCAGGTCATCAAATACCCTCTTGGTCTCTGAAGGCACCGACATGTATATAGTATGCATGCAAACAACAGGAAAACACTTGTACAAATAAAATAAAATACAAATCTTTTTTAAAGTAGCTAAGAAGCCATAAAGTCAGGTAGCACATGTCTTTAAACTCAATATTTGGGAGACAGAGACAGGAAGAACTCTGTGAGTTCAAGGCCAGGCTGGTCTACATAGTGGATTCCAGGACAGCTAGGGTTATGTAGAGAGACAACATCTCGAAATAAAATACAAACAAAACATTACAGTAGATAAGAACAGCAACTTAATGATAGGTTTACTTAGGCTCATGGTTCCAAATGTTCAGTGCATGGTCAACTGACTATTTCTTTGAGCCAATGATGAGGCAGAACATCTTAACTAGGGGAACCAGTTTAGGAGGAGAATGCTCACTCCATAGAAGTTGAGAAATAGAGAGAAAAGTGCTTAGAACAAAAATCTACAATTCGGGGTTATGCTAGTACTATTTCCAAATAAGCCCTGCTGACTACACTTTTCCAATCACTTTCACAAAACAGTTCCTTATGAGTGAAGTACTGCAATTATGAAATAAGAGTACTTATAGTCCAAGTTACTCCCTTTAACCTCTAGGTCTGAACTTAGCTGCAATGGGCACTTGCCTTGGGTGCATGCATCTTTAGGAGACATTCCATATCCAAACAATAATAAAGACGTTCCCAATGGGCGTTGGTGGTACATGCCTTTAATCCCAGCACTCTGGAAGCAGAGGCAGGCAGATCTCTGTGAGTTTGAGGCCAGCCTGGTCTACAGAGTGAGTTCCAGGACAGGCTCCAAAGCAATACATAGAAACCCTGTCTCGAAAAACCTAAATAGATAGGTAGATAGATAGATAGATAAAGACATTTCCATTTATTTGTATTAGGCAAGATATCATTTTATTGTTCCAAAGATTTCAAACATTCATTATGCATCCCAGATTTCATAAAACAGCTTGATGACGAACCAGTCTCATGTGTATTAAGGAAATGATAAAATCTGCTGTATATTCTTCGTCAAAACTGGTAACAGTGGGATTCTAATGCTTCTATTTTGGTGAAGTCTATCCCAAGAGGAATTCCTAGATACAAGCAAAGATTCAAAATTGGATCTCAAGTATTTGTATGAATATGCAGTACCAATACAGATATTGGTGGGTATTTTATTTCTGTGGGCTTTTCTGTTTTCTTTGTTTCGGGGTATATTTAAAGCAGTAAAGCCTTTATTTCCAAGTTATACTCTAAGATATAAATGACAGAGGGCAGGTTCTAGTAAGAGAAGAGACTCTTGACCTGCTTAATCTTTTCTGGATCCAAATAACAACCTAGAAGACATTTCTAAGAAACTACATCTCTATAGAACATCCTATTAAAAAACACAACTCTATTAAGTTTCATTCAAATGGGACAGTATTACTAAAATATACATTCACTTAAGTATCAAGCAACAGGAAAATTGAAATTTGAGGACATGGGTTTAAGTCTTATCTTTTCCATTTACTAGTTGCCCTATCCTGGACTAGTCACTTAGAGTGAGCTTCATGTTGTTCACCTGCTGTGCCAACTTCGTAGCTGCTGCAGGCAAACCAACCTCAGTGGAGGCAACTCGGGTACCCTTGCGCACAGGACGGTCTTGCTTTGGTAGTGGTGGTATCACACGTGAGCTAGGAATCCATGGAGCATCATTTGATATCCTCCTTTTCTTTGGTAGAGATCTCAAAACAAGGTCATCATCACCATCACTATCACCACTACCACCACCACCACCACCACCATCATCATCATCATCATCATCATCATCATTGTCATCGTTATCATCTTCATCATCAGACTCCAGGAATAGGTAGGCATGCTCAGCATCCTTTAAGCACGTTCCCAAGCTGTCCTGCTTATTCACCCTGTTATTCTCCTCGACGCTCTTGGTTCTCCAGTATACTAGCCGCTTGATGGGCCATTTCCTTTGGGTGTGCTGAGAAACAAGACTTTTAGGTACCATGCCCAAATCACTGCTGAAGCTCTCAATGCTTTGGTCCTGCCTTTCACTCCACCAGGTCTGGAGGCTGCAGGGAGCTGGTGAAGGAGATGAAGACTGCAATTCAGGTATGGTCACAATGTCCTGGATAGCCTCCTTATTGTCAAAAAAGTCTGGGTCTTCAGTGAGGACAACAGAGTCAAGTCTGTCCATCTGTTCCCTGGCCTTAAATGGATCAATAATTCTACCAGATCCACTTCCATTCCATATCTTATCTTCAACGCCTTCCACGATTTCCTTATTTATTTTACAGTTCTCAGTGGTGATCACAGATTCCTCTTGTTTATGAATTTGGTTTTGACCAGAGCAAAATTTCACATGGGGAAAATTTGGGGGAATATTTGGTATTACTACCAGGCTCATTTTCTGTTTGCCCAATCTCTCTTCAATCTGCAGCTCAACATTTGAACCCAAGTCAAACTTGTCTCCCATTACTTGTTCTTTCACCAACATTGAATTATCTTCCTTCGTTATGATTTTGGCTCTCCAAGAATTGGACAAGCTCTTCACCCTGCTGGTACCACCATTAGCCATCAACAGAGCCATGGGGCTCTCGTTTCCATCATAGACATTGTCAGATTTTGAGTCATTACCTGAGTCATTCAAGCAGGAATTAGCAATACTAAACTCTACTTTCTGGGAAGAGCCTGCCTTCAGTACTTGATGATTGTCTAGACCCCTAAGATTATCCATACCTTGATCATCAGACCCCAAGACTTGATGCTCTTTGTCCTTTGGATTGGTCTTCTTAAAGACATCCTTAAGCTCTGGGTCTTTTTTTGAATCACTTTTGGAGGGTGATGATAATGTAGGCTTGGATACTGAAGGGGAATCAGTTGGCCAAGTTAAGGAAGAGGAAATAGTGGGGAAGAGCTGCTCGACCCCAAAGATTGTATTCGCCTTCTGGATGTTCTGTTGGGAGGTATCTTCAACCAGACAGATCTCTGTAGCCAGATCTTCAATGAGCTGTATGGTCTGCACTGTCTTTGGGATCGCATGTTGGTGGTCTTCCAGAACTTCTTTCCTTGTCCAGGCCTGAAAGGCCATGTTCAGAGCTTTCCCACCACGAACCAGGTAAGATGCAGGATGTCTCCCATTCTCTCGCAAACCTCCAAGGATGTCCAGAATTTGTTTTCCCACGTGCCAACAGATGGTCTCGAAGCTGGGAAACTTGAAGAGGTCTGCTGTGCTCAGTTGCTTCACAGTCTCGTAGGCTTTGAGCTGCATTTCAATGCTAAGACTGTGTAAAAAGTTTCCTCCAAATGCTAGGCAATCCATGGGGGTCAGCACAGCATGGATCCATCCTGGAGGAATGAAAAGTGTCTGCCCTTGCTCCACAGAACACTTGTAACACTTGTCCACCTGGTCACCAAAGAACATCTCTCTTTGTTTAGAGGAATTTCTCCAACATTCAAAGAGAGTCAGGTTAGCATCTTCCGGGTGGATCAGGTAGAAGACTTTCTCACCCTTAAGCACATGGTACCAGACTGAAGTGCCACCAAATTCCACGTGAAAATCTGTGTAGCTATCCTGGACACTCATAAAGCAATACTTCTGGACTTTGGGTCTTTCAAATTCACACTCTTCTGGCCATAAATTTTCAATCCAGGAAAGCTTACTAACTATCTTGGGCACCTCTACTATCTTAGAAAGCCTGGTATTAGAGAATTCCAAACTGACAACATTGAAGATATTTTCCCTCTTCTCACTGTAGTAGTATTTCACAAAATCACCCAGCATCATCTTGCATCTAGCTTGACAGGCCGCATCCATCACGTCAATCTCTTTGTCAGAACCCACATATTGTTCCACATCTCTGATCGTGAATGATGGTGGGGGAAGTGTCATTCCCAACCCCTCCCTCTTCAAGACAAGGATGGGTACGCTGAAGCTACTCTTTTCCAGGAATTCCACTGTCAGCTGACTTCCTGTGGGCTTCAAAACCACTTCGTCCGCACTGTCAAATGTCTTACCCTGAAGCTGGTGAATAAACTCAGGGCTCCCTGTCAGCACTGGCTCCCTCTTAAGAGTTTCGCCCACATTAGAGGACTCATGAAAGTTTTTCATAATGGAAGGCCCATGTGAGACCTCACAGTCTGGGCAGTGGTAGATGTCAATGTCAGCAGCTTTCTCTTCTTCAACGTCAACACAACTCCCGTGAAACCAGTCCTGGCATCGGTTGCACTCGATCATGAAGTGGTTCTCATCATAAGGCTTTCGACAGAGGCAGTACCCAGGCACTGAGTTCATCTTCGCAGAGTGAGGCAGCAGGCACCCTCGCTGGAGGATGAAGGGTCGCTGGGACCCAGCCTTCAGAATTTCTTTCACTGAGAGGGCAGAGAGTCTGGGGCCCTATTCTTCCTTTGAGGCCTTGCGGGCCCACCTTCTTTGGTCCTGAAGTCAGAGGTATCTTTCTGAGGTTCCGTGTAAATACCTGAAGCCTCTCAGAAGCAAGCGCTTGTAACTAACTGCTCTGTTGCTGTCCTCTTGCTTCCCAGGTTCTAGAATTCTCCACTCCCCGTATTATGACAGGAATTGCGTCATAAGGAAGTGGGAGGGGCTTGGGGAGAGACGCGCTCAAATCCTCAAAACAGGAGGGGCCAGAGATGTAGAGATCCTTTGACGTCCGGTCAGGTTATTAGAAAATTACCTCAGAGTCTTTCAGCACAAGGCATACGAGACTAGGCGCTCAAGTCACAATCCTGGAGTTAGGTTCTAAGCATTTCTTCCCGGCCAGTAATGAGTATCGCTGTCCCCATGCACTTTAAACCTGACAGGGATCTCCTCACACCCCTGATAATAAAACAAGTCTCTTCAAAACTGCTGTAAGCCAACAAAAATCTTCCCTCAAATCCTGATACTGAAGGAAGATATTTTTTTCACGGCCCGAATGTCAGGCATTTCTTTGCAGCAGCCGCCTCAGACTGACTAGGGCTCTCCTGTGTCCCCATTTGATAAGAGATTTTGTCTTAGATTCTGAAATCGACAAGACTATCCTTGTAACCCTCCAAACTTACGAGGAGCTCTTTACAAATCCATGACTGAAACAAAGCTTTCCATGCCCCAAACCTGACAGGAATGTCCAGGGCTGCAAACCCTCCACGGACCTCCTCAGCCTCAAGGCTGCAGGGGCTCCTCGACCTGGGGAGCCAAGTGAGCCCCAGGACTTCCCTAAGCAGAAGCTGAGGGGACTGGCCCCGCCCCCAGAGACAGCGCACAATGAATTTTGGGATTGTCATAGTGATGCTTGGAACCTTGGGCACTTTCAGGATCACAGGCTGTGTCGCTTCGTGTCTGTAGTCAGTAGGCATCTCAGGATAGCCTTTGAGATGCTGTTACCCAGGGTTTTGTGTGAGGACAGTAGGGACTGCAGGCAGAGACATCAAGAATATAAATGCCAACCGGGCGGTGGTGGCACACGCCTTTAATCCCAGCACTCGGGACGCAGAGGCAGGAGGATCTCTGTGAGATCGTGAGTTTGAGACCAGCCTGGTCCACAGATCGAGTTCGAGTGTAACTGCCCAGTAGGGTACCTATGAATAAAGGACCTTCAGTCGCCAACCTCACATAGTAGTGAGAGAGAACAAACTATCACAAGTTGTCCTCTGACTTCCACAAGTATTGTAGCAGAACACTCACACATTAATTGGTTAATTAATTAATTGAAGATATTCTCACATTTTAAAAAAAGCAATCAGGGAATGAGACAAAAAAAGAGATACAGAATTGGTCTAATCATTGTTTTTTTTCTAAGCATTGTTTTGACACTGAGATTCCATGCATATTTCCCCTTTAATGTAGTAAAACAAATGTAAAGACTCTATTCAATTAACACATTTATTGAGCAACTATTATATGCCATGAACTAATATAAGCCAATGAATGAAAATAAAAGATTTTCTACCCTGGTGTTGATCAATATTGTATTGCTATAATAAATGGTATTTAATTACAAATACTACCCTCTTTATGTGCATCTGGGCTTAATTCGTATTTTTTTTACTTGAGATTTTGTGTCTGTGTTCATCACATACTACATTATGTTGCTCTGGCCTCTATTCAAAACTGACAGCCTGGCCTGGTGAAATGCCCAAGCCTGAAGACCTGAGTTCAATTCCTGGGACCCACATGGTGGAAGGCAAAACCAAGTCTCATGATTTCCTCAGACCTCCATGCACTGTGCCCACACAGAGAAAATAAATAAGGTTTTTGTTTTTGTTTTAAAGAAAATGGGGGCTGCAGAGATGGCTCAGCAGTTAAGAGAACTTGCTGTTCTTCTTGAGAACTTGGATTTGATTCTAAGCACCCATATAGTGGTTCACAACGGTCTTTAACTCCAGTGTCACAGGGTCAGACACCTTCTTCCGGCCTCCTCACGCACCACACATGCAAATGGTGCACAAATATACAAGCAGGCAAAACAGCCCACACATAAGACAAAATAAAACACACTAACAAATAAAAACATGACAACCTAACAAATTCTTGTTAACTAATGGAACAAAGTAGTGCTTTTCTCCATTCATTTGTCTTCTCTTAAATACGTAATATGTTTTTGTAAATTTGTAGCTTTCTTTCTTTGGGGTTTTAAACCTATCTATCTATCTATCTATCTATCTATCTATCTATCTATCTTATATCCATCCATCCATCTATCTCATTATACATGTGCTTGTGTATAGATATTCACATTTGTGGGATGCACATGTGTAGGCCCGACGTTGACAGTGCTTGTTTTCCTTGACGATTCTCCACTTTATTGGTTGGGACTCTCCCTGACATTTAATCCCAGCACTCAGGAGGCAGAGGCAGGCGGATCTCTGTGAGTTCAAGGCCAGCCTGGTCTACAACGTGAGTTCCATTATAGGCAGGACTGTTACACAGAGAAACCCTGTCTCTAAAAATCAAACAAACAAAAAGAACAGGCAGAGGCCACTCATCGTTTCCTGTCATTTCCCAGTGTTTGTTGTACATCTCTGTGGCCAAAATACCCAGCAGAGTAAACTCCAGACAGGCTAGGTTAATTGGGGTTGTTTATAGTTTCAGAGGGTGTTGTCCATGGTTGCTTGACTCCATGCACTTTTGGAAAAGTTAATGGTGAAAGAAGCTAACGACCACAGGTTTTTCTTACCGTATTATTGGACAGAAGTAGAAAGAACTGGAGTAATGTGAGGACTGTGGCAGCAAGGAAGACCAGCAGTGAGCAGTTGCCTAATATGTACCAGGCACTCGATTCAAAGTCTTTCATCCATTTTTAATTGATTTTTGCTTAAGGTCAAATTAGGGTTCTGATCTCTTTCTTTAGCATATGGATACCTAATTTTTCCGGTGTCATCTTCTATTGTCCTTTTCAATTTCTCTCTTCAATGTCTTGATAAAGTTTTCAAAAAAAAGGCCATTCACTTTTTTGCATAGATTTATTCCTATTTGTTTCCTTTTGTGTATTCATGGAGCGTGCGTGCGTGCATGCATGTGTGCGTGTGCGTGTGCGTGTGTGTGTGTGTGTGTGTGTGTATTGAAGCTATTATGAGGCTAATATAATTGTTTTCCTGATTTCTTTTCCAGTATATTCATTATGGATATAGAAACTTACTGATGTTTGTATTTCATTTTGTATTTTCCTACTTTGAATAAAGTGTTTGTCATGTTTTAGAATTTTCTGATGACATCCTTGAGTCTTTCTGGCATAGGAGTATATTATATGAAAATAGAGTTATATGAAAATTGAGGTCTTCACTATCTATTTGTATCTTTTTTATGTCTTGCTCTTGACTTACTGATCTGAATATCTTCCAGTAGTATATAGAATAATAGTGGAAAAGTAGACATCCTTGTCTAGTTTTAGAGAAAACAGAACAGCTTACGGTTATAATTTCTCTCAGTGCCTGCTTTGCTAATATTGAACACTGAGGAAGTATTTCATCTCTGGGGACTTTTTAGAATACATAATTAGTCAGAACACTGACCCAAATTTTGGCAGCGTGTACTCTACACTGGTTAAGTATATAGTTGCTTTGTATGTCTCCAGTCAGCACCTAAGGATTTGGGAAAATTCCAAACTTCTGTGGATTTCCGGAATTCTCCAGGAGTGTGAGGAGCAACTAAACCACTCAGTTTTGTACTTATCAAGGTGTTATGGGGGCCTAGTGATTTGCTGTTCCTTACCCATTGAATGGCCTCAAAAAGTGTCTCTCTTAAGAAATAAAGCACAATTAGTGTTGCTTCCCATGACATAGGTCAGGGCTGATGTCTCTCTCTTCCGTTCACTCTCCCCTCTTTCCATGCTGCTTGGAAAAATGAACTTTTCAGGGTGCTTGTCTCAGACACACTGTGGAAATCATAACTCTTTCATGAGGCAGAACCTACTCAGTAAGTTGAGAGGTGTACGGTAATACTCTTAGAAGTGATTATTAAAGTTTTCTTCTCAATTCTTACCTTCTGTTTTTGAGAGGGAGGAAGGAGAAGTGGTATGACCAAAATGTCTTATTTTGTTAGTTCTTTAGAATCTTATACGATATTCATATCCATCCCCTCCCCTGATTCTTGCTAGATAACCAGCGCTCGCTCCTTCCCCATTGACACAAAACTTTGTGTCCTTTGTTTTTTCAATGCATCAACTTCAATCTGTGCTGCCCATGTATTCTTGGACCTTTGCCCTTCAATTTCTCTGTGGTCAGTTTACCAGGGGATGCATTCTTAAAGAATCATCGTCCTCTACCAAAAGGAGAGTCAATAGCTCCTTTGGTAGGGGAAGGACTTATACCCACCTCCCCAAACATGCTGAGATTTCAACTGGTTGAGCTTGCACAAGTTTTGTTCATGTTGTCATAACCAAAGTAAATGTGTGTGTGCAGCTTCTCTGCTGTGTGAGGAAGACGTTGTTTCTTTGTAGTCACCCACACCCACCACCTCAGTCTCTTACCCTCTTTCTACCCCATTTTCCAAATTGACCCTAAGCCTTAGGGTAAGGAGGTGCAATTTACATGTCCCATTTAGGGCTGAGCACTGCAGAATCTCTTGTCCTCTGTAGCTTAACTAGTTGTGGGTTTCTGTATCACTGTTTACTGCAAATAGATTATCTGATGAGGATTGAAAGGTACATTAATCTATATGTATAATAAGTCATTAGGAGTCAGTTTAATACAATGTCTGTTTAGCAGAATAGTAGTGGGTTCTCCCCTCGGGCCTATGACCTCTCAGACACAGGTTCTTGGTCCATTAATAGTGCCAGGTGTAGCTTTCATCTTGTGGAGCAATACCTAAATCCAGTCAGAAAGTGGTTGGTTAGTCACACTATTGCACCATTGGGCATGCCTGGTCAGGCAAGTCCGTACTACAGCTGGCTAAGATTGATGCTTACTTTTCTGCTCTGGTAGAATGCATAGCACCTGCCAGCACTATGAAAGCTAGCCAGTGGGGATAAAGATTCCAGTCAGTACCAGTTGATATCTCCTTGTGATGTGACTTAAGTATCTGCTATTTTCATCCATTTTGTCTTACTGTCAAGTTCTGAAGGGTAAGCAATAGCATTGGCAATAGCCTGTAATGTTTAGGAGTCTATGGGACCTCACTGGCCAACAGCTCCAAAAGAAATAACACATCGGCCTGGAGAGATGTGTCCTCAGTTATGAGCACTGACTGCTCTTCAGAGTACCCAGGTTCAGTTCCCAGCTCCCTCATGGTAGCTCATGACCATTTATAACACTGGTTCCAGAGAACCTGACCCTTCTGTCTTGTCTCTACAGACACTGCATGTCACATAAAACACAGACATCTGTGCAGGCAAAACACCCATACACATAAAT